CTATAATTCAGGGATGGAGATAAGTCATTGAGACTCCGCATGGTTAGACTACTTGGCCATTGGTGAATGGGAAGTTTAAAGCCTTCAGTCTACCATTCTTTCCCTTGTGAACCACTGGGTGGTGGTGTTGCTGACAGCCTGTACTCCAGGGCTGCTTTGCTGTCAGATGCTGGGCAGCAAGGACAAGGGCACTGGCTGAATGAGTTAGCATCTTGTCACCAAGGCAACATCTGCCACCAGCCTGTCCTCCCCAGCCCTTTAGAGCCCATCAGAAACATCACAGGAGCAGGCATTGTGGTGCTGTGGGTTAGGCTGTCACTTGTGATGCCCACATCCCATATTGGAGTGCCTGATTGGAGTTCCCACCACCCCAATCTTCTTATCCAGTCTCCTGCTAATGCACCCAGAAGGCAGTGGATGATGGCAAGTACTTGGACCCCTGCCACTCACATGGGAGACCTGAACAGAGTTCTTGGCTCCTGGCTTTGGCTTGCCCTAGCCCCAGCTATTCAGCAGATCGAAACTACCTCTCTCTCTCTCTCTCTCTCTCTCTCTCCTGTCACTCTGCCTTCCCAATAAATCAATCAAAAATAAACACCCTCAGACAGATACAGGGAGTCTGTGGTAAAGCGGGGAGCTCACATGGAACCCCCACTTCTGTTCCTCCTCCTCCTGCAGCTGGGCTTGCATATGCATGTGTGGTATGATTGGCATGTTTACTTTTCCTAAAACCTAAAGCTCTAAAATGAGAGCTTATTAATCATTATGACAAGGCAGGAGGTGAGGTAGGGGGCAGCTGTTACAAACAGGGCCCCCTGCCCAAGATATCACGCCTGCTCCACAGAGGGCATGAGGAGAAGGCATCCAGTGCCACTGGGACCTGCCCAGAGAGACACGGAGATGTAGACAAGAATCATGATGAACAGCGGAGCACGCAGCTAAGAAGCAGGGGAAGACAGGCTGAGTGTCGTCAAATGTTGCGGAGGTCAGGAATGTCCTGAAGAGGACACGAATCAACAGAGGCCATCAGTTAATGACTTAGGACACACACTGAGAAAACTGTGACCGTCTTCTGTCTGTTGTGTACATGAGAGATTCTGACAAGGGCGAGGGTGTGGCTCAAGGCCATCCTAGAAGCCCCCGCAGTCCATATTATCAGGCACCTTTGCTGTGAGGCATTGTTCTGCATTACTATTTTTATTTATTTTCTTCAGTCCTTTTAAGGGTTTAAAGTAATTCAAATAACAACAAGGTCTCAGATTCCTATGAAAGGAGGAAAGAGCAAAGCTGCAAAGATATAAAACTTGGTATAAATCCTTTTTTTAAAGATTTTTATTTATTTATTTGACAGGTAGAGTTACAGACAGTGAAGAGGGAGAGACAGAGAGAGAGGTCTTCCATTTGTTGGTTCACTCCCCAAATGGCCGCCACAGCCAGAGCTGAGCCGATCTGAAACCAGGAGCCAGGAGCTTTTTCTGGGTCTTCCATGCAGTGCAGGGGCCCAAGGACTTGGGCCATCTTCTGCTGCTTTCCCAGGCCACAGCAGAGAGCTGGACTGGAAGAGGAGCAGCCAGGACTAGAACCGGCGCCCATATGGGATGCTGGCACCATAGGCGGAGGATTAACCTACTGTGCCATGGCGCCAGCCCCAGTATAAAATCTTTATTAAAGGGTTTTTGAGGCTGGTTGCTAGAGGTAAAGATGATAGATGATATATAGATAGATGGATATAGATAGATGGAAATAGATATGGATAGGCAGATGATACAGATGATAGAACTATGGTAGATCTCAACTGTGGGGAGCAGCTCGGACTGGACTGAGTTACTGGAATTAGGACTTATTCTGTGCATCTGCTCTCCCACAATATGGCGCTGGGAGAGGAGAAAACAGCTTCTACACAGCTGCCTCCAGTTTAGCCAATAAACTGTAGGACTTGCTCCTGATTGGAGGAGAGCAGCGTACTCGGCGTGTGGGCAGCCGAGTTGGGATTGGCAGAGGAGGACTATAAAGGAGGAGAGAGACGGCATGCACCAGGAACATCTAAGGGGAACACCTGTGCAGCCCCCGAGAGAGCCGGCCGGCGGTGTGCCGCTCCCCTGCGGAAGTGGGGAATGTGGCCAGGGGGAACTGCCCTTCCACGGAGGTGGAAGGGATAGTAGCCAACCCGGGAAGAACCAGCAGCAAACCCGGGGAGGGCCGAGCAGACAAAAGAACAGCGCAGGGTCCTGTGTCGTTCCTCCGCGAAGAGGGGGAGCGACACTCAACCACTGAGCAGTATTTCTAGCTGTTGAAAACACAAACCTCAGAACTGGACTACGTGGGTTTCAATCCTGATTCCTCCTCTTGCTGGCTGTGAGACTGTAGGCAAACTATATAACCTTCCTGTGCCTGTTTCTTCACCTTAAAAGGGAGATAATGACGCCTAGCTCATGGGGCTACTAGGATTAGATGGATTAATTCATGTAAAGCACTTAAAACAGTGGCTGGCATACAGCCAGGATAGTCTTCCACATTAATAGACTGCTTACTGCAGGTTCTGATGCTGCTACGGTCATATGTCATCCAGAACAAGTGCGTCAATCTCCCCAAGTTCACTTACACATTCAGAAGGAATAAAATTTTGCTGTGGGTAAGTCTTTCTGAAGAGCTGTGCTGTGAGAAGCATCTGTAGCCTGCTCGTGGGGAAGTGAGGGTTTGGAAGTTGCTAGAAGCCAGACAATCCCCAGGGACTCCCAAACAGAAATGTCCTGGCACCGGGGAAACAAGGCAGGTGGAGCAGGCCAGCCTTTCTCATTCAGGGCATTGCCAAGTGCAAAGGCCTCCCACAGGGGCTACCTGCAAGTTATTTTCGGTTTTGGGTTTTTTTTAAGATTTTATTTATTTGAAATATAGAGTTTCAGAGAGGCAGAGGCAGAAAGAGAGAGGTCTTCTATCCATTGGCTCACTCCCCAAATGGCCACAACAGCTGGAGCTGGGCCAATCCCAAGCCAGGAGCCAGAAGCTTCTTCCAGGTCTCCTACGTGGGTGCAGGGGCCCAAGCACTTGGACGATATTTCACTCCACTGCTTTCCCAGGCCATAAGCGGAGAGCAGGATTGGAAGTGGAACAGCCGGGACTCAAACCGCTGCCCACACGGGATGCCAGCACCGCAGGCGGAGGCTTAAGCCTACTACGCCACAGCGCTGGCCCCATTTTTTTGTTTTTCTCATGTTCAGCAAGTAACCACACAGAGATTGGTGTTTCTTTAGTTTGAATGGAGAACCACCAAATGCCAAAGGGAAAATAAAAATCCCAGGGCTCAGGATGCCTTGCGTCATTTTCATTTGATGTGTCACCCCAGCAATGCCTCCTACTTCTGTTTGATGTATTATGCACACAAGACAAATCACAAGGCGTAACCTGTCACAAATGCTAGAATTCAATCTGCCAACACACACACCACCAGGAACTGCTTCCTTCAGTCCCGCTTTCTCCACAGAGGCTCCAGAGGACCGTTCCAGGTCTGACAGAACTGGCAACCTCAAGAGAGCCTTGCAGGATCCAAGAGAACAGTCGGTGCAGTGCTGCCGCACTGCGGAGCTGCGGCCGGCTGGGATCTGGCGGTGGGGCCTCGTGGGCGGTCCCCTGAGTATTGAAATGTGCTTTGCAATCTGGTTCTTTCGGAGGATTGCTTTCCCATCCTAGACAACCAGGCTTCAGCCTGGATATTCATCCACCATGTTTGGAGTCTACTCCTAAGTCACCTTTAACAGTCTCCTATCTGGAAACTGCTTCTTCCGAGTCCTTCGGAGAGTAAGTGTTGAGAAAGATGGAGAAGACGTCACAAAAGCACAGAGCTTGCAGTGCTCTCCACTACATTTCTGAACCATTCATGTAGCACCCATTCTCACCATTTTTAATTGATTAAGGCAGAGGTCTACCATTGGGCCCTCACAGACAGCATTAACCAAATCAAGAACGAGAAGAATGTTTCACAGGCACCATGCCACGCCTGGTCACATCATTCCAGTAACCTGGGCTAGGGAAGTCCCTTGCTCAGAGAGCAGATGAAAGAATGACTGTGTGTCCCGCCATGAGTTATTCTCCAAAGGCTCCACCCTCTGGTGTCTCACAGTATCTCAGACCTGCACATTAAGACCGAGAATCAGGAAGTGAAACAGGAAAGGAAACACCCAAACCTCCTCAAAAGATGCCAAGAAATCTTCCAACATATACAGAGCTCCATTCATGGACAAAGGATGCCAAGTCTCTTGGAACACAGGATTAGAGTAAGTGCGTTTCTCGGGCAAGAAGAAATTCAGAAATTGAGCTAGTATGCTGATCTAATGAGTCATAATTAATCTTACTTTTTGAAAAGTAAGACACTTTTTAAAAATCAGTCGCTATCCTTTTAGAGCTGAAGGAAATTCTGTCAAGTTTGCTTTGCTTCTCAATGGCAAAAAAATATCAACAGCAGATATTCAGCAAAGTAAAGAAAAAAGGCCAAGGTTTACTTTGCTTATGCTGCATGCTGAAGCAGCTCTTCATTTGAAATACACCCCGGGGTGAGTGTTGTGGTGCAGCAGCCACTTCTTGGAACACCTGCATCCCATATCCGAATGCCTGAGTTCCAGTTCTGCTTCCGATCCGGATTCCTGCAGAAATGCACCCTGGGAGGCAGCAGGAGATAGTGCAAGTACTTGGGTCTCTACCACACATGTTGGAGACTTGATGGAGTTCCTGGCTCCAGGTTTAAACCAGGCCCAGGCCCAGCCCCAGCCCCAGTCACTGCAGGCATTTAGGGAGTGAACCTGGAGAAGGAAGATCTCTCTTTCTCTCTCTCTCTCTCACTTTCTTTCAAAAAAAAAAAAAAGTGCAGTACTGGTGAGAATCTACATTTTCAAAGGAAAAAAGAAATGGACTCCTTTGGGGCCAGAAAATGGCTCACCCTAGCACAGGCACTGACAGCTTAAAGCAGAGTGCCTTTAGGTTGACTCAAATAAGGAAAAACAGACCAGTCAAAGGTTAATTCAATTTTATTTTCCACTTTTAGTATTTGTAAAATTATACAACATGCAGTCTGCCAGAGTGTCCATACATCTTCATTTGAGAACCTAGAAGATAACCAGAATCTTCCACAGGCCAAGGGGAGGGTTGCTTCCAGATCTTCTGTGACACATCCCATAGCACAGCACCGTTATGCGATACAAATTGCTGTTCCCCCCTCAAACCACCACGTTTGTCCACATATTTTCATGAAAGCTACTGTACAGATACATAAAGCCCAGAGAACATACACCAGCAGTATACACAACACACTGGACAGACTAGACACGGATAATTCTACAGAACGCCCTCGTCCCCTTATACCTGCACACAATGAGAAGTGTTTAAAGTTGATCAACAATTTTTAAGTAAGTAAGCAGGCTTCATAGAGCAGTGCTTCTTCAGCAGCTATCTGGCTCTCATTCAATACATTTTTTTTTTTTAAAGTCTAAGTTGTTAGTGTTGAAGGAAGCAATTTTAGACTACGATGCTCCTTTAGCTTGCTTTGATATTCTGGGTAAGACAATGAAGTGACATCTTTCACTTGCCCCTGACAATGAAAAACTTTCCCAGTGTGTCCTCTGGCTGGAGTCCAGGTGTCTCCCGCCTTAGTCAAAAATGCAATTCAAAAGGGAATCGTTCAGAGCTTGTATTTGCTTCCGGTTATTCTGATAGGAGAGCAGGCCTGCTAAGTCCCCTTCTGAGTCCTAGTGATGCCTTGAACAGGAAGCTCACCTGTGTATGGGAACTTTAGGGCTTTCAGATCACTAGGCACTACATTCTAAACAAATACTTTTGTTTCTTCACATTGCCCTATGAATTCTGGCTTTTCTTGGTTATGTCATTCTATTTTCTTCAAAATTCTTAACCTACTCTTTACTGTTCTGTCTACCACCTGCCACTCAACAAAAGCCAACCGTGCAGCATTTGAAGAGATGCCTCATTTCTACAGAATTTTCTAGTAATTGATCAAAACACATTTGGTACTAATAAATTTTATGTCCCAACCATAAATCTTGATCTCTCAAACAACACTCCTCTAATTTAGCACTGCCATCCTGCAGGTAGAGATTTGTGTAAATCATCTGGCTCTTACAGCACTGAAGAGTCAACTTTCAAGAAGCATGATATACAAAATTATCCACACAGGAGTAAAAGACACACGCGCATACACACTGACAAAAAGGCAGCAAACAACCAAAAACACAATGATAACCTTGGCTGTTTAGAACTTGTTAACATTTGAGGTATAAGGAGCAACATTCTCAAAAAGCGAAAATGGCAGAAATGTGGCTTTTTGAAAAAAGTGACCCGGCCGGCGCCGCGGCTCACTAGGCTAATCCTCCGCCTAGCGGCGCCAGCACACCGGGTTCTAGTCCCGGTTGGGGCGCCGGATTCTGTCCCAGTTGCCCCTCTTCCAGGCCAGCTCTCTGCTGTGGCCCGGGAGTGCAGTGGAGGATGGCCCAGGTGCTTGGGCCCTGCACCCCATTGGAGACCAGGAAAAGCACCTGGCTCCTGGCTCCTGCCATCGGATCAGCACGGTGCGCCGGCCGCAGCGCGCCGGCCGCGGCGGCCATTGGAGGGTGAACCCACGGCAAAGGAAGACCTTTCTCTCTGTCTCTCTCTCTCACTGTCCACTCTGCCTGTCAAAAAAAAAAAAAAGAAAGAAAGAAAGAAAAAAGTGACCCACAGAAAACAGGGTCCTGACAGAGAAACCAGCGTACCATGCTAAGTGACGTGCAGGGATCCATCTGAACACGTGATGTCGCAAGCATCTGCCCACCTTTAGTCACAGTGAGGAAATCGGATGAGAGGTCCTATAAAGATGGGAGCTAGGTGAACTGACTGGCCGATCAGCAGCTAGCAGGATTATCTTTACAAGACATCAAAGCCAACTTTCTCTGTGAATTAAAGTGAGGTGCGTTTTGTCAGTCCCTTGTACAGATCAAGTAATGGGGAACTAAAAGTGAGCGTTTCTTTTTGAAACATGAAAGAGTCAAGAAAGTCCTTAGAAGTAGAAAAGGGGTGCCCAGGGAAAAATTACTTTGGAAAGATTCTAAAATAATCTATTTTGTGATGGATATTAGCAAAGCCTGGGGGCGGGGGGACTGACCTTTGTTCAATTCCCAAATGCAAGAGCAATGCAGCTGCATGGTGGACAAGCAGTGGTGTGACAATGATTAATCAGTCACCCTCGCAAAGACCAAGCTTTCAGTTTCCCCAATCGGAGGCAAACAAACTAACAGCAAGGTTATAACTGTGGCATGCTTGGTTGCCTGGGGAGGCTTGCGAAACCTGCCCTCCAAAGGCTCTTCTATCAGACTGCAGAGTGAGCAAGCAGCCATATTGGGCAGGCACTGGCAACAAAACCAGATCGATTGGAAAAAAAATACACAAATGTAAAATTGGCAAATATGAAATAAAGCCAACAGAATTTATTCCTTTCTCACCCTCCCCCCCAAAAAACATAAAACACACGAAGTACAACATTTAACAAATAAATTAAGTCTGAGCAGCCTTGCTCAGTTAGAGAAATTTTTTACAAGAGTTTGGAAGTCAGTACACAATCCGTAACACACACACACACACACACACACATACACACACACACACTGAGACTAGAACTTCTTGGACCCACACAGCCACAGGAAAGCCCAGTCTCCCTGGCATACACTTCATTCCAGTGGTGACAGCTGTAGGGGACAGTGCCAACTCACACATCTCAGACATGCACAATGGCAGGATGGGTGCCCTCACCAAATCTGGCTGGGTTGTCATTAACCTCAAATTTATCAGAATAAGTAGCAGCACACCAGACCAACTTATCTGAATCCTGGTGAGTTTTGCGGAAAGTCTTACCAGCTGGAAACCAATCTTTTTACTATGCACAACCAGGAGTAAGGTGGGATCAGCTTCAGATCATGTATTTGAATAAAGCAGTAGCTAAATGTAAAAAAATCCATCTCTACTGACTTTTTCTAATTGTACCTAAGAAGATAAAACCTATTTGGTGCCAAAGGGAGTATTCAAATAAAACAGTCTGCGGTGGTACATTAAAAGAACAACTTATTTGTAGCCGGGGAGAAAATTCCGTCAATTACTTTCCTCCCCAGCTTTGTTTCTCAGCTGCTGGCCCGATGCTGGGCTTCCTTAGCAGTACCTTCACCCACACTAGCATGGTTTCCTGGAGAAAGCGGCCATCCCTGACTGCAAGCTTCCGAAGGATGAGGGTAGACGCGGTGAGGAGGGAGGCAACCCCATTTCCACCCATCCGACTTTGCAGCATTTTCAGCACTTCTGAAAGAATGATGTTCAACCCGGGCCGGCTGAGACTAGTCTCAGCAGGTTCAGTAGCAAGCAGCTTGGAGGAAAATTTTATGACTTTTTGCATTTACATAGATGTGTCTGAGTGAACAAATTCTACATTGCTACTGTCAGATTGTTTTTCTGCCTTGAAGAAATTTGATCTGCATTTGAACAGGTGCCATACTAAAAGGTATATTTTACAGATCCCAAGATGTGGCCAGGATATTCAAAATGCTTCTTTGGGGTAATTTGTTTTGTTCGGAAAAGTGTTCAGAATGAAAATTTTGAACCCTATAGCAGCACATTTTTTGTTCCCTAAAAATATAAAGTCATGTGTTTATTTTACAGGAAACCAGACAAACAGTTGAGGCAGAGCATGATCTCCCGCCTCCACGGCACTTGGTTGATCCCCTCCAGGGAATGGCAGGTTGGGGTGTCCCGGTCAGACCCTGTGCTGCCAGGAAAGGAGGCCCAGGGATGGCCCAAAGGCCTCCCCGATGCTCTGCAGCCGAGTCAGTGGTAATGGCTCTGAGCAGGAAGTGGATCTTCTGTAATCACCTCCTCCTGATGTCTCAGGAAGAGAAAAGGCCAAGCACATACTGCACACAGAGAAATCCTACACAGCTTGAAATACCTGAAACCGGTATACAGCAGACGGCTGGGGTAAGCAAGTGGGGAACAACGGGAATTATGGAGGAGAGGGGCGAAACAAAGGAATCCGTGATTAATGTGGTCCTTGACATGCTACGTGGAGTCGTATCTGTTGAAAGAGAACCAAAGAGAGAACAGAGGAGTTAGAGCACACGGGTGAAATTCACGCCTCAGAAGTACCACTTAAATTCTAGTTATCCAGAGCACAGCTATCCGACTCCAACAAATGTGAGCCACGTAGTTAACTTTCAGTTTTCCAGGGACCACATCAAAAAGTGAAAAGAGATAGATAAAAATTAAAATTAATTTTAATAATGTTTTATGTAGCCCAATGTAGTGGAAATATTACCATTTCAGATCATCAGTAGTACCTGTGTAGAGATAGTTTACATCCCTGTTTTTCCCCCAGTGTTGGACACTTTTAGCACATGGCAACCTGGACTTGGCAGCAGCCCCAGCGCTCAGTGGGCCATGGGACCAGTGGCTACCACACTGGCCAGCACAGTCTTTTACTTCCTGGTCTTGCGTTCAGTATGTAGCCCTGAAATAATCTCAGCATTCTCTCCCAAAGAAGTGAATATCTAGTGAAGCCACGGATAATCACCATAGGAGCGCATTTTCTCGTCTTCGAAGGACACTCAATACTGCTGACTTTGCAGCACCTGACATGACAAGGCAGGTCAGACCCAGCCTACAACCAAGGCCCTTTCTAGAGAAATGTCCCCAGGTACAAAAGTGTGTTTAACCTACATGGGGTGATGACGTTTCCCAACAGAGAGCCCCTTTTGAGTTCACTTCCACTCCCCCTCGAGATTCTCTGGTCAATGGCAGGTCTGCAGGCGGGAGGTCTGGACTGGTCCTGACTCAGAAGCCGGCTCTGAGGGACTGACCACTGCCAGCCTTGGCCCAGCTCTAACGAGCTCCACGGTCAGCAAGGTTCCACTTCCTTCCCCCGGCTGGGGGCCCTCGGTCTGTCTCCACTCTTGCCCTTGGACTCTATGCAGAGCTCATGGTGCTCCAGGGAACAGTGCGGGCGGGGAGCATAGGAGGCAGGTAGAGCCTCACCCTTGAGAAGCTTAGGGAACCACTTGGCACAAGAAACATGACATTAAGAAAAGACCCACTGCTCTTGTGTTTAAAGAAGAAACCCCACAGCTTGGCACACGGTGCTGTCTGTCGCGCCTCAAGAAGGCAGACCTACATCCCGAGTCCCAACCGTGGTCGATACCATAGATTCCTGCCACCACCTCTCTCCCTATTTTGTTCTTTTCACTCTCCTGATTTCGATAATATAATACCGTAAGCAACTTCACATATTTTGTATAAATAAGCAGGATGTAAATTGTTGTTTAAATACAAGAATCCCTGGTATGGGAAGGCGTTGTTAGAGCAAAGTAGATGCAAAATAAAAGAGAGGAGAAATACAAAACAGAAAAAAAATTCTTTTTAGGAATACCTCCTACTTTCTGATGCAAAGAAGAGATCCTCAGGGAACGCATTTGGTAACCAACATCTCTCGCCCAAGTAGTATAATCTCCCGCTAATAAAAAGACTAATTTAAACAAACTTCTATGGCAATATTCCCGTCATATTCAGAAGTCACACATGGAAAGCTCTGTCTTTGGGAAGAGGGTGATTCACATTTAGCCTTTCTGGTGAGATTTTGTGCTTACTGTTAGGACCAAAGATGAACAACCTCTTAAACGCACGGTCATAGCTGTCGTTCAAATTCCACTTCGAGCTGACAAGCAATAGCAATGCTTTCTGGTTCTCACTGCTGAAATCCCCATTTCACTTTCTTACAGGTTCACTTTTCCATGCACAGGATCCCGCAGGTCTTAGGGGATGGTCTTCCCACCTGCCTGAGGCAGGGAGGAGCGGGGCACATACCTCGCATTGTGGGATTATGGCCCAATGCAAAGGCTGCAGCCACCCCGTGTTGACACAGCAAGCACTAGATACACACATTCAACAGGGCGGCCTCCGTAACTCCAGCGGACCATGACGTGACACGATTTCCACCAGAAGGCCTTTCATTCCGATCCCCCAGCCCTGTGTGCAAGATCCAGCATGTTTGGGCTGATAATTTTAGAACCGGGAGGGCGGGGGGGGGGGGGGGGGCACAGCAGAAGCCCAACCTGCTTAGTTTATTCACCTCAAAGGGGGTTAGAGGACGAGTGAGCTTGTGATAGGCTGCTGAAAGGAAAAGCGGAGGAACCCTGCCACTAAGGGTCCTTTGTCACGGTCAAGCTCTTCCTCTGCGTCCAATGCTAAGGATCTTCACAGGCCTGGCATCCACAGAAGTCTTTCCAGCAGGCCCTCAAATGGACTCCACCAGGACCCTCCCAGCCATAGTCCCTCATCTGATGTCCACCTCTTGCCATGAATTCAGGAGGAAATATGGCTATAAATTACACAGGTAAATGGTTTAGCCCCAAGAGAACTACTTCTGTCTGATCCCAAGAGGTTGGGGACTTAAACAACATTTAAAACCCGGTTCTACTGGCCCTCTCCTCCATGTTCCAGTCACTCACTCCCCTCAAGGCAGGTACTGGGCCAACTGACCTGCAACGGACTGTCCCTGGGACTCTGCCAAGCTGGGGATGGTAATTCAAAGAGGCAGCGTGTGACCAGATTGAGAAGGAAATACAATCACCTTTCTCAAGACGGGGTGGAGAAGGCTGAAGAAAGAAGTTAATTACAGAAGGGTTTTGCAAAAAAAGTATTTAGAGATTTTTTTCCCCTCCCAACTTTGGCTTTTGCAGTTGCTTGCAGTGGATTTAAGCTTAATCCAAACAATACATAGTTTTATCTTTCCTTTCGCCTTTTTACAATTCAATCCGCACATTATAAGAATTACCAATTGTACTTTCCTTATCGCTGCTGAATAGAAGTGGATTTACCTCCCTGGCGCTTCGGCACAATCTGCTTGGAGCAACACTGACAGTGGCTCTGAACTGACGCCTGAGCCACAGGAAGCTGACAGGTCTGAAAAAGCTTACGGCGCTGAACACAAACTCAGGTATCCCCGCTTTCCCGTGAGCCATGCGTCTTCCCTCTGAATTCCAAAGGCCTCGCGCCTCGGATTCCCACACCGCGGAGGTGCCTTCCAGCTCTTATTTCTGCCCTCGCTCCCTGCAGTCCCACTCCGACTAGGAGGGACCTCACAAAGCTCGTGGAAAACACAGGACTAAAAGATTTATTTTGCTACCAAAAAAAAAAAAAACCCTTGAAATCTACGTGTATTTTTCATAACATGCATTTTCCATGAACTTTGTGAAGACCCCACACGTATTCTTTTTAGGCCCATCTCCATAACCACATCAGCTGATGGTCGTGAGGGCCCAGCTTTGCCAGGCAGTCTTCTCTGACTTGCTTCCTTTCTCTCCCCTCATCTCATCGCATTCCCAGACAGGCCTGGGATGTGGGGACTCTGAACCTCACTAATGCAGGCCAAGAATCACGGGCAGTGACAAGGCTGGACTCTCTTCACTCATGCACTTCACACGAATCAACACATCGAAAACAGGCAGGCTGCAGAACAGAAGCAGCAGGGCGAATCCAGCTGTGATCTGTTAAGCCAGACATCAAAGAGATTTGCAAAATGTAAAACAATGCCATTGTGCCAAGGTTTTATTTGGGGGAGGGAGGAATCATTTTTCACTTAGAAATGGCATTGAGGTTCACGTGGATAGGCTTATTATTTTCAAGGAATCTGGTAGTATTTTAATTTACAATAGGTTGCATATCAGTAAGTATAATCCACAGATAGGAAAGCTTTTTGTGGCATGGATCCTTGGAGAACTGCCTCCGGGAAGATCGGTATTCCTAGCCCAGGACCCACCACTACCAAGCAGCAGGCTCCTGATGGCCGCTCCTACTGCGTCACATGAAATGAGGACACACAGGGACCGAGCACTCATTCTGTGTCAAGCACTGGTCTAAGCTTTATGCACACACCAACGTGTGCCATCCTCAGAGCTAACCTGCAAGTAAGGACTCACTGAAAGGACTGTCACTGGGCCCAGGTCACTGAGAAGGACTCTGAAGCACAGAGACCAAGCAACTTACCCGGAGAGAGCCGAGATTCAAACCACAGCAGTCTAGCTCCAGGCCCTGTGCTCCTCATCACCCCATTCCCTGGCCAGTAGCAGACTCTTCCTTGTATGCATATTCTTGTGACTCAATCATGAATTGCTAGGGTTTTCAAACAGGAGTAGCAAGTCGAATGGCCCAGGAGCTTAGACAAAGAGCACAGGTGTGGCTGACAGATGCCACTGTGCCCTTGGCTTCCTGCTGGCTTCCCGGCTTCACTGCTTCAGAGTGCTACACCAGAAACCCACCCTCCACGTCGACAGGAGCCCATTTTGGCTGTGGGCAGAAGCCGACATGTGCATGTGAGTGTGTGCAATATCATTCATTTGTGATCAGGTGTCAAGGCCAGGCAAAAGGTCTGGGCACACCCCAACAGTGGTGCAAGACTGGATTCAGGCATTTGGGACACGGGAAACAGTAACAGGAAGGAAGAGACAGGGAGTGCTTCCGAGAAGCACATGGGCAGGAGGGTAGATAAGTCAGTGCCAGCTTGGGAGCCTCAAGCCCGACCCTGATGACACAGCAAGATCACGAACAGCAAGAGTCTTGCAGGTGCAGGAGTCCAGCACTCAGAAAAGTCCCGTCTGCCTGGGCTGCAGTGCAGGAAGGCAATGGGGGGAAAGGCGTAGGGTGGGGCTCACACAGGCTGGGACTTTCTCAAAGAGGAGGCAGCGGCCTAGGTGGACTCAGAGTTCAGGGCTTTAGCAGAGGGTAGTGAATGAGGGGAAATGGCCACAGGCATTCAGAGTCAAGTAATCTGAGGTTGGAAAATGCTGGATTCCTGGGGCCTGCGCTGTGGCGCAATGGGTTAACGCCCTGGCCTTAAGCGCCCGCATCTGGCTGCTCCTCTTCCAATCCAGCTCTCTGCTATGGCCTGGGAAAGCAGTAGAAGATGGCCCAAGTCTTGGGCCCCTGCACCTGCGTGGGAGGCCCGGAAGAAGTTCCTGGCTCCTGGCTTCAGATCGACGTAGCTCCGGCTGTTGGGGCCATTCGGGGAGTGAACCATCAGATGGA